CTACTACTAATACTAATAATATAATAATAATAATAATACAATGTCAATCAGTCAGTGATTTGTTTAAATTGATTTAATGAAGATACTCAATGCATAAAAGGGTCTGCAAAGTAGTCTTGTAATTACCAACAAATGGTCTGGGTGGTGATGTATAAATTGATGCCTCAGTTATAATCGTATTAGTTATTCTAATACACTTAACTATGCATGTAATGAGTGAGAAATTACATAGTTATACATTTAAAAAATCTTGTAGTGGAATTAAGTATTTTACAATGTAGAAACAATAAAAGCATAAGCTTCCACTTTAAATGAGAAAGCAGAAACATCAAAACACATTAAAACTGATTTATCACTCCACCTGGTGTTTACTCAGGAGAAGAATTTTATTCTTCAGAAGAATTTCAATCATTAAATGCTTTCAGAAACAGAAAGGTAAGCATAAATGTTTTATTTCAGCATGATGTTTATTCAACATTTATTTCTGTGCATTATAGTTATATGTTTGACATGTCAATGATGCTGTACAGAATGTTTCTTTTAAAAATGTAAATATCCAACATAGTTTATTTTCACGAGTGAAACTGAGTTTCTCCTTGAAAAATCTCAGAAATCTCTTTTCCACATGACATACAAACACAAATTCTCTTCAAATACATTTTGTGTTGAACTCACATAATATCTAACACTGCATCAATTTGAAATGGAAATGCTGCATAGACCACTGATACTGACAATGGCACAGAGATTATTGAGCTTTACATAATAAAAAGAATAAGCAGTAGTATTTTGTACTGTGGTGATGGATGATACTGAATAGTACAAACATCTTCTTCAATTACTCTGTTGACTCTCTCTGATGAGCTGGATAATGCATGTTATAGCATAGGTAATATCACTAGTTTATTGTAGTCGACAGAACTGACCAGTTGAGTTCCAGAAGGCTCTCTGATGCTGTTGATGTATTTATTAGACCTGGTAAACATTATTAAAAGAGTGCACCTCTAGATTAGACATTGTGTTCCTCTAACAGACACATGCACATGAACAGCTGACATTAGGAATCATATCTGATTTTGGCACCACATGACTATCTCCAAAAGGGCACCACAGACAAGAAGTAACAGTCTTATAATCAGTATTACCTTAATGACCAGGATTATCATTGTTTTCACAACAAGATGAGCAATGTTTCAATGCTGTAATTGCTAATGGGGTGTCTATTATAAAACCAGCTGAAAAGTATTACCTAAATTGCACTTCAAAGCAGTGTAAGCATAAGCTTGGCTTAATTTGGGAACAAACAAACAAACAAACAAACAAATAAATAAATAAATAAGTACATACATACATACTTACATACATGTCTGAGGTTTAAATAAGGCAAGTCTCCTTCAAAATGCTGAGTAACGATGTTCTAATCATGTGCACCTGATGTGATACAACCGTATATGAGTTTAGCCATTTTAAGTGGGAATAAATGTGGGGGTGTCCTAATTTATTCCTCACCAGAAATTACGCTTTACAGACAGTTTTAAAAAGTCTTCTCTTCAGTTTTAACTGTTCAGTGATATTACTTGAATCTCTCAGTATTGTTAAAATTGATAATTTATTTCCACATGTCCAAATATAAAAAAACACAGGCATTCATAGCATGTCCTGATTTTTTCACATGACTGTACATACATACATACATAAAAGTCTCCCTCACTGCACAGAATACTGAGTGGATGAAGAAATTAAAACCCCATTACATCTATAAAACTGTTTCAAGTGAAATCACTTCATGTTTAGTGAAATAACAGCATCTCCCCAGTAATCCATTAATGTTTTCACTATGATAAGCTAACATTCATGCAATTTGTCACAGTTTATGTTACCACACTGTGTGAAATCTACTAAATATCAGTTATTATATCAGATATTTCTTTCTGCTTAAGTTCTTCAGAGGAAAGCTTGTGTGGCATAAACAGAAAATTTTAAAGCTCGACTATGCCACCTGAGGGAATTTCATCCCCAGGAGGTTAAGAACTTTAATCACTTTGGAATGTGAGTCCACAATTAAATGAAATTTACAACTATATTTTTCAGTAACAATCCAACACACCCACAGTCAATAAGACAACATACTGGCCCCAACTAGTAACAGTCACAGAACACAAAGGCTACTTATTTGTTGGAAAGAAATAATAAGCTCAATAATAAGAATTATTGAGCTTTGCATAACATAAAGAATAAGCAGGAGTATTTTGTACTGTGGTGATTTTTTTTTTACTGTGTTAGGTATATTTATGTTAGCCTGTTGCTACTGTTCCTCTAGCAAACTTAAGATTAATTGCTGTGCATTATTTGTAACTGAATTCCACCCAATCAGTGCTCCTATTTTATCTGCACTAATTGAAATCTACCAGTCTGGAAAGGGTTACAAAGCCATTGCTGAGGCTCTGGGACTCCAGTGAACCACAGTGCAAGCCATTATCCACAAATGGAGAAAACTTACAAAAGTGGTGAACTTTGCCAGGAGTGGCCAGCCTACCAAAATTGAACCAAGAGTGCATCAACGACTCACCCAGGGGGCGATGAACCCAGGTGAACATCTAAAGAACTGCAGGCCTCATTTGTCTCAGTTAAGGTCAGTGTACATGACTCCACAATAAGAATAACATTGGAAAAAAAAACAACATCCTTTGGAGAGTTGCAAGGCACAAACCACTGCTGACCAAAAAGAACACAAAGACTCGTCTCGCATTTGCCTAAATACACCTAGATGACCCTCATGAATTTTGGGATTATATTCCACAGACTGATGAATAAAAATAATTCTACAAAGGAGAGTGGGCCAAAAATCCTCCACAGTGATGTAAGAGACTCTTTGCCAGTTACTGCAAATGTTTGAGTTGCAGTTGTTCCTGCAAAGGGTGGCACAACCAGTTATTATGTTTAGGGGCAATTACTTTTTCATGTTTTCATATAGGTTTTATATAAATCTTTAACTTTAATAAATGCAATTATCATTTAAAAGCTGTGTGTTGTTTTTATGTGTGTTGTTTTTTATCGTATATTAAAATCAGTTGAATGATCTGATACATTTAATTGTGACAAATTAGCAAAAATTGAAGAATATTTTCACAGCACTGTATATACCATATCTTCATGACCAATTGTAGGAATAGGGCCACAAAGAACACATTTCTTCCTGAGGAAATATGATTTCTGCCAACATGTAAACATTAGATTTGTGTATGTATGTGGCTTGTAAGACTTACTGCTCATTGGCTGAATGAATAAGACAGAAAATTTATTTTTAGAAACTCCCAAAAACTGCTAAAGATTCAACACAGATCAAACAGTTGCACTATTATGCTGTCCTGTAAATACAACAAATCTGCATAGTTTATGTAAGTTTATGTAAAATGTGCAATTATATGTCTTGCCACTGAAACACTGCAATTTACTTTCAGGATGAATAAAGTTCTTTCTCTTTCTTTCTTTCTTTCGTCTTTCTTTCAGTTTATGTTGAGATCGTAAAAGTACAGAAGAAAGGTAAACTTTTAACAGATTATTTATTGTAGTGCCCTGAGCTTCATACCTATAAATTCTATGAATTTCATTTCCATATGTCTTTGTTGTCCTCTGTAATTGACCATGTCAGCTTCAGACTTGTCCCTCTCAGATGTAGGCAAACACATTACTGAAGCTAGGATGGTCAGAATACAGGGTTATTTGGTAAATAACAATTCTATACTGATATTTATGGCAATTACAGTATAATACTAATTCATAATTCAAACAATAATCCAAGTATGTTACTGAATAGTGTTTAAGCTTGTATTTGTTCAAGATAATTCTGAATCCAGAAATAGTTTCAATTTAAAGTTTTATGACAAACATTATCTTGCAGCAGGCATATGACCCCACACGTACATTGGAGTAGCATGGTAGAGGAGCATTTTAACCTCTTACAGCATCATCACTCACATTATATTATTTAAATGAAATTTGACCTGGCTGTGAAAATGGTTTGGAAAAATAAACACTCAGCTGGAAGGAATGAACTTACTTTAGAAAGCAATTAATGTTAATGTTACATTTAAGAAACATCAAAATCGGGTACAGCTCTAGTTATATTAAAGAGCAATCATCAGCAACAGTAATAATAATAATAATCATAATAATAAGAAGAAGAACAATAGGCAGTTATAAATGTGTTACAGTCAGATAATGAAGTTAAAAGTAAAAGTGGAAACAATACAAAAACAATTATAATACAATATATACAAAATAAAAGATATATTTAATAATTGCAACAGTGTTTGATGAGATTATAAATTTTCATTTCAAGGAACTTTCCAAACTTGACCCCTTAATTGAGATTGAAGATAATATTGAGTTGCACAGTTTAGGAGCAGAATAATAGAAAGAGTCCATGATTTATGTATTTTATGGAAGGTATTTGCAGGTCATTATCTGCAGATCTAAGATCACATGCTCACAACAATAACAGGTGCTTGGTGATGATACTGCTTTTCTGTAAGAGCTTCACCAACATAGTCTTAAAGTCATCTGGGAAAACACCAGTTGACAGAACAGTTAATGTCATATTTTGTATGATGTATGAATAAAGTCATGTTTGTGTCTAAACGTTTACTGAGCAGTGAGTGTAAAATGTGACTATATTTGTAAATATAACATTTGCTTATAAGCAGAACATTCCTTACAGTCAGCTGTCTTGAATAATAAAACAGGTAATACAAAGATAATACACAAAGAATGATTAAAAAATTAAATGAGTGAGAGTTTGACAGTGAACTCCATTATTTTGGGTTATATATGTACTATTGTTTATAGGAGACAGGCACTGCTAGCTAGAGAGCATTTGACATTACATGTTGATAGGCTGGTAGAGACCTGTGACACCAACATACTCCTTGCTGCTGTAGTAGCTCTAAAGGGAATGGGAAATCACTTGTTTAATGAGGATGTAAGACACGATGATATTAAATGAAGCTTGGGTGTTAATTTATGATTTTTTTTTTTTTTTATATTTACAGCATGAATTCTGTATAGACGGAATTAACTATCCTCAACTGATTCCTTTTCTATCTGCTCCAGATCTTCCTCTGTCTTCTTCTAGTGTTCTTCTTTTCTCCAGCTCCCCCTGAATTTTCTTTATCTGTGCTATGCTGTTCTTTCTATGAGCCTCAAGGTGCATTGCCTTAATCATAAGCTGACTGTTCATGTCTAACAAGGTCTCTATGTCCTCCAGAATCTCTTCAACTTTCTTTCTCCTCTCAGTTTTCTTTCTTTGAGCCTTCTGGTACATCTCAATAGTGTAGTGCCTTCCTCTATTCTTCTCCACAAGAGCTTCTATCTTCTCCAGCAGCTCTGTGACCTGAGTGCGGTCTCCTCTCTCCAGATTATTAAAGATGTGATAAACCCCTGCACAGCTGTTGATGAATTCCAGAAACTCAAAACACAAATTCTCTGTAGTCTCTCTGTAGTCTCTCCCATCTAAGTCTCCATGGGTAAGCAGGACTATGCAACGTTTTATAAATTCCTTCCCAAAGTTTTCCCTTAGTTGGTTAATATTTTCAAGCATCCATATGGATGTGGGAGACCGTATTGCAAGGAGAAACACATGAGGACCAGGGCTACAGAGAGGCATGCACTCCTCAAACTGTTCACGGCACCATGAAAAATTAGCTCCTTGTGGGACTCCCTTGGTGTCGATCACAGTCATGGTTTTATTTCCCACCATTCCATCCCGTCTTTTGCATTTTGTGGAACTGTTAAGGAAGTCTGTACCAAACGCTTCTCTGCCCAGAATGGTGTTTCCTGATGCACTTTTTCCTGCTCCAGCTGTGCCCAGCAGCACGATCCTCAAATCAGACACTGAAAGAACAGAACACAGCTTCTTTACAAATGAATAATTCTGTAGGTAATAATAATAATAATAATAATAATAATAAAAACAAAGATTGTGATATGTATCTACATACAGGACAAATCAAGGAATTTTCTTTTCTGTGCAGTCAATGGAAGATGCAAGAACCACTGTGTGTACAGCCTTGACATCAGAGATGTGACATGGGGTGGCCACAGCTTAAATAAGATATATTCAATCTACCAATTTAGTTTGAAAAAGCTGTGAAAAACAGCTAATTTTCTGGGTGTTTATTTTATGTACTAATGATGGCTACTCTTATTGGCTGTAGATGGGTGGGCTCTACTTTGCACATTGTGAAGTGAGCTTCACAATGGCTGCCACAGGGCACAGTATAGAGAGACCTTTTAAGCTTGTTTACACTAGAAAACATACCAGATCAAAACAACAACAAGCATTATTATTATTTTGTTTTTAGCATCATCATCAGTAGTAGTAGTAATAGTAGCAGCAGTGATAGCAGGAGTAGTAGCAGTCACAGTAATAATAGTAGTAGCAGTAATAGTAGTAGTAGTAGTAGTAGTAGTAGTAGTAGTAGTAGTAGTAATAGTAGTGTAGTGAACACCATCATCTGGTTGAGCCAAAGTCAATTCTGTTTTTACCAGAACTCTTCACATCACCCAAAACTAAAAGCTTTGGCTCCACAAAGTCTGAGCTAAAAGTCATGAACAAGATTAAAAACAAGTTTTACAGGAAGTTACCCTGGGAACAAGCATGGACACTGTGGAAGGTTATCCTACCTGGAATCCAGCTACAGGCCTCAGCCAAACTCTTATCTAAAACTTTTTTTTAGTTCAAGAACATCAAATTTCTTAAGTGTGTATCAACTCCAAGCTGCACCATTCATCAGGGATCATTTCAAGATGACTGGAGATCCCAAAAATGAGGTTATCATGAGAATTTATAACAGAGTTTTCCCTTTTTGGATTTTATTTATAAATTAGATATGGAGTCACAGCACCACCAAGTGGTGAGAATGAGACACACCACACCACCACTGCAAAGACATTTGCGTATAAAGAAAGGACCCAAGAAAACATTATGCATTTACATTGTATGCATGTTAATCAAAAATTGTATATTCTGTAAGCAATATTACTTGTATGTTATGTATACAACAGTCTTTTTTCGTGTTAGATGGTAGAAATACATAGTATAGCACTAATTTACTGATGTAACCTCTTAAGGCCGTGGGTTTAGATAAATATGTATCCTGCAGGTGTTTTTCCTTTCTTTTTGTTTAGTTTATTTCCTTTTATTTGGTTTTATTGTCTTAAGTGATGATCGTAATATGTTGAAATATACTCCTAACAAAATGATACCCAGAGATTACCTACAAGGCTGTTTCTGTCTTTAACATGGTTATTTTTCAGGTAACATGAGTTGTATTGTAATACATACATGTCCTATTTGTTCTGTTTGTTGGTTTTGAAAGTTTAAAGGAATTACCTTAACCTATTTTATTTTAGAATAATTTTGCTTTTCTTTTATTTCAAGATCTAACTAAAACAAAAGAGGGAGTGATTCTTGGGTAGGCGCACATATGATCATGCACCACCAATCAGAGTTGGAAATAATGAATAGCTCATTAACTGTAAGGGGAAAAGGACCTATCAGCGCTCTGGCTCCGCCTCCAAAGGGTAGGGCCTACAGCCAAACAAAACCACAGCATTTTTCAGTGAGTTCTGCGTTCAAAGAAGAAGCTAGCAAGTTTTTAAGTGTGTGCCGGCCTTGGGCACAAAGATAGGTCAGAAATATAACACTAAATTTCAGATCTGAAACCTTTGTCTGTCTTTGTAACTTGTCTGTCTGTTTAAGTTTAAGCCACCCAAAGAGAACAAAAGTGAAGACACAAGTGGTGCCATCATTACAAAAGTGTCAGATGAAAAAAGTGGAGGAAGCAAGGCCCAAGGAAAACTACTACTTCATGATATTAAAATGACTCCAAAGAAACCCCCAGTGACTGAAAGCACACACCACAAGGAACTGTGAGGAAGTAACAATGAGGAGAATTACTGGTGATGCCATTGTTACACAGCCAAAATAACAACTGGGCTTGCACTAGTGCTGGCACAAAAATCGAACCATCCAACTTATTTTTCCATTTGCACTATGACCATAACATTAGAGCCTTTGTGTATTTACTAGTGCATTTGTATCAATATGAGAGTAATGCACCTACCCGCGTCATGTAAATTTCTCCCTGTTACTCGTCTCAGCTCCTCTTGTTTCTTCCTTTCCCCTTCTCTCTGTATTTCCTCTTTTATGGACTTTGCTTCAATCTCCTTTTCTCTCTCCTTTAAATACTTAACTGAGCTCTCCGATGCCTTTTGTACCACCTCTTTCTCTAGTTGTTTCCCTCCCTTCTGATCTTCAGTCTTGATCACTTCATCCTGTGATGTTGTGTCTCTATTTAGTGTCTTGGAGTTACTTAGGGTTTCTGGATGCTCCATACTGCCCTGAGTTCTATCATCTCTTGTGCTAGTTGTTAATACCAACATTTGATGGATTTTATCTTCTGTACTCTGTTGAAGTTCCACTTCTGTCTCTGTCTCCTCCATGTTTGGTCTCGTCTCCTCCTCTCCTCTCTCCCATTTTTCCTCCCATCTTCCTTTCTCCCCCTTTTGTTGCTTGTAGCTCTCTTGTTCTCTCTTCCTTTCTTCCTCCTCTCTTTTTTTCTCGTCCTCTTTTGGCTCTTCTTGTAATATTCTCTTTTTCTGGAATGCCTTGTACATGTCATGAGTGTAACACTGACCCCTGTTCTGTTGGACCGTGGTCTCGATCTTCTCCAGGAGCTTTGTGATCTGAGCAGGCTTCACCTCTCTTTTACTGTTCATCACATAATAACCAAATTCACAGTTACTAGTCAATTCAAGCATCTTAGCATCCTGAGAAAATTGAATCCATTGTCTGTTTGACATTTCTTCTCTTCCAGTGAAGAGCACCATGGTGAACTTCAGAGCTTCTTCTCCAAAGTTCTCCTGAATCCACTTTACAGTATTTCTCTCCTTTTCTGTGAATCTCCCCACTCTGACCACCAGCAGGAACACATGAGGACCAGGAGAAGACAATGAGATACACATTTCTATTTCAGTCTTCAGCTGGTCTGTACTGAGAGTTGTGGTGTTGATTGCTGGAGTATCGATGATTGAGATGTTTCTGTTCTCCACTCTTCCTCTCTGTATCTCACACTCTGTAGTTTCAGTCTCTCTGAAAGCTTCTCTTTTTAATATTGCATTGCCTGTTGAACTTTTTCCAACACCAGCATTACCCAACAGCACCATCCTTAGATCCTCAGACACTGTGTGGAAAATAACAGCATATATATATAAAATAAAAATTCAAATTAACTCTTCTAAGGTGACACATTTAAAATTGTCTTTGCACCATGCAAGTACATATGGAAAATCAATAAAATGCGAATGTAGCTTAACACAATTTGAATAAATAGTATTTGTTTTATTGTATGTTTTTTTGTATGTAATTTTTTTGTATTTTGTATTTACATTTTATATTTAAAATGTTCAGGCTTACTGTTAGAAGAATCAGCCATGGAGTTCCTTTGTCCTCTGTCTATGGTATGGGCATATTAAAATTAGAAGAAGATAACAACAACAACAGTCACACTTTATTTGGATGGTCCCATATAGATGTTCCACATATACTTAAATTATTAACACATTTGCTGGTGATAGTTGAATATCAACAACATTATATTAAGGTTAGGTTTAGGAGTGGCAGTAGGTTTTGTGTTGAAATTACGGTTAGGGTTAGGAGTAAGTGTAGGTTCAAGTTTGATTGCATTTAATAGATTTTAGTTTGGTAAAGACAGATTGAGCATCTACAAAGCATCTACAGTGGACCATCAAAACAAAATATTAATTTAAATAGGCATACTGGATTAAAATGGTTTAATATGTTATGTAGTGTTCTTTAGCACAGCACTGTATCACTCAGCCTCATCAGCGTGAAAGAATTCACAATTTTATATTGTTGTCATTTTTTTTCCATTCACCAGTGTTCTCTCACTACAAACCCAGCATGCTTTACTCAAATATATCATAAAACCATTGGGAATCCCTGTGGTGTCAAAAGATCCTGACTCCTAGCCACTGATTTATAAAGACAACTAGTCTAGCATTATTTTGACTTTAGTTGTCAAACAAGAGAGCTCCTTTATCACAGATATAATTCAATTACAGAAATATTGTAGAGTGCAGTATACATGATTTGGGAAATATTAAGAAGTGAAGACTTAAGCTGGAGCTGTTAGCTAGCATATTGGGTTATCTCTGTATGAATATATACCATTAACCTATTCAGAAAAGCATACTGTAAAGAAAACAGTGTTTTTGTTTTCATTCAGTACAATATGAAAGCAAGAGAATTTTCTTTTATCCATTTAGGCAATGAAAAGAAGACAAATTGAGGCAAGATATGGTCAGATAGCCATCTCATTAAGTTTAGCTTTAAGCTAGTTGTCCTCATATGATGAGCTATTCCCAGAGATTATACAGATCCTGGAAAACCTGGATATTCATGGCAAATAAACATGCTAAAATACAGTACTGAATTGTTCTTAAAAAAATAAATCCAAAAATGTACTTAAATGTCATAAAAATAATATCATGAAATTCTGTAATTATTTTATTTCTTGACATAAATTACAAACTTTAATTATAGCCTAAGTTTTCAAATGACCAGTAACCCCATGCATTTATTTCACAAGAGCTCAAGTTTTCCTATTCATTCCTATTCTTTCGGCTAGTTGTATAGACTAAATATCAGTCACACTTAATTTCTTCAAAGTGCCTGGAAAGTGTGTGTTTAACTTGTGTCAACAGACTAAGAAAAGGGCTGGCTTCAACAAGACAAGCAGATAGGACATGGTAGGATGCCGTTACTTTATAATGAAAGTTGACTCAGGAAATACAGTGCTGTGAAGTATTTGCACCTTCCCAATTTATTTTATTTTTGCATATTTGTTCCATTTGAATGTTTCAGATCATCAGACTACTTTTCAAGATTAGACAAAGATAACACAAGTAAACACAAAATGCTGATTTTAAATGATAATTACACTTATTGACGGAAAAATGCTGTTTAGCCCTACTTGGCCCTCAGAGAAAAAGTAGCTGCCCCCTTAGATACTAAATGGACCAGTTAACTATATTCACTTGACTATTGGGTTCAATTTCACTAGCCACAGGGAGGCATGATTACTGACAAAACTGCTAAATCTAAACATCACTTAAATAGAACCTGTCTGGCAATGTAAAGCAGGCTAGAAGGTCTCAAAAAGCAGCACATAATGCCACGTAAAGAGATTCAAATACAGATGTGAATCAAAGTCATTTAAAATCTGCTAGTCTGGAAAGGGTTACAAAGCCATTCTTAAGGCTCTGGGACTCCAGCAAACTACAGTGAGATCCATTATCCACAAATGGAGAAAACTTGGAACAGTGGTGAGCCTTCCCAATAGTGTCTGACCTACCAAAATTTCACCAAGTGTGCATCGACGACTCATTCAGTGGGTCACAAAAGAACCTAGCTGAACATCTAAGGAACTGCAGGCCTCACTTGCCTCAGTTAAGGTCAATGTACACAATTCCACAACAGGAAAGACACTGGGCAAAAATGGCATCCATGGAATAGTTACAAGGCATAAACCAGTTCTCACCAAAAAGAACACAAACATTTGTCTTGACCCCCATGATCTTTGGGATAATATTCTGTGCTCTGATGAGTCGAAGGTGGAACATTTTGTAAGACATTACATCTGGCGTAAATCTAACACAGCATTCCACCATAAAAACATCATACCAACAGTCAAATATGATGCTAAGAGTGTGCTGGTCTGGGGCTGCTTTGCTTCTATAGGACCTGGAATTCTGCTCTTTATCAGAAAATCCTAAAGAAAAACGTCCGCCTGTTAGTTTGTGACCTAAAGCTCAAGCCGAGATGGGTTATGCAGCAGGACGATGATCCGAAGCACAAAAGCAAGTCCACCTCTGAATGGCTAAAATGCCCAGAAAGTGAATCCAGTGAAATGTGGTGGCATTTTATGACAGTTCTCATTGACACCACTACAGCTAGCAACTCATTCAAGTTTAGAGACTTTCAGTTAAGTGACAGAGTGGATATTCCATTTCATCTGCATATGGCTGATAACGTCAGATACTCTGGGATATAATCCATATGCCTTGATCTGTTGTTTCTCTCACATAGCCAAGCCAGTGTCAAGTGTAGATTTTCTATTGAAAAGAAACTTGAGATCGGGAATCTATGCAAACAGTCTTTGGTAGCACAGCGTATTGTTGTTGGTCACATTTACTCTGTTCTATGACAATGCAAATACCATTTTGCATTCTATGGCACCTTTAATCACCCATGAGTCAAATCTTCACTGACTAGGGGAGCTGTCAATCACAGATTGATCAGCCAATTGTTTAAGTAGCTGTGCAGGGAAAGGGGTGACAGCTTCTTTGTATGATCATCACCATGTTTGGCTCTGATAGCCTGAAACAAGGATGAGTTGGCCTGATATTGGTTGAGACAGATGGGCAGGCAAGCTCAGTGAGACTCTGATGCCCAAAGCAAACATTCCATATGTTGTGTTCTTATTTAAATTTTTTCTGATCTATGTCGTCAGCTAGATTGGCAGTCTATGTAGCTCTAAATTCTGGTCACAGGTGATTTATTAGGCTAAAGTAAGCTTGTTCTATACCAGCAAAATGGCTCCTTTCTCCATTTTGCTCTGTTTTCACCTAGTTGAAACACACGAGTGTATCTGTATTGTAGCACCTCTGGTATTTGCATTAGCCAGTTTACACTTCAAGTCATTTAAAACAGCAATTCAGAGTAAATCAGCCCCAAACTACAGCCTGCGAATTTTAGTATGCACAGTACATTTCACATGCTCTTTAGTAAATCTAGCTGTAAATGTCTTGCTGAAACAAAACCTTTAATGGCGCAACATTTTTATTCACACATTTGGAAATTAACCATGTTTTAGGCTGCAAGGTAGGTATGATACGTACAGTGTTCTCTCATAGTAAAACCTTTTTTCATATTAAAACATTCTATAAGTCAAGCTGGGAATGTAATACTATTTTTGGTCAGAGTGCACAGTGAACAGCTATTGCTCACTGCTTTTTATGGTGTATTTTAAGCTTTTTTGGGGAACAGAAGTTCTAGAGAGTAGCTGAAGGGACTGATAACGTGAAGATTAAGTTGGTTTGTGTGAGCCACATGGGGCACTTATTTCCAGTAATAGTTTTACTTTCTCTTCGAGACGTGTTCTAACTGAAAGGGGTTTTACACAACATAAGTACCAGGCCTCATAATTATAAATCTTGTTAACTAATCACTCTTAACTTTAAATATTTTGTTTATCATCCAATTATAAATATCACAATCTCTGATTTCTAACCAGTAATATTGATGACTTGAGTTCTGAAGGCTTCCTAATACATGTGAATTCTTCCTATAGATATTGGCAAAATCCAACACTTGAGTGAAATCAAGACAGACAATAATGAAAATGAAGGTGACACACAGTGTTTGGGAAGGTGGGATCTATTTGCAACAGTGAGTTTACCTGGGCAATATTTATTTTAACATCTCCTAGCAGTTTATGGTTTTAGCAGGTTAAACAATTAGTCATCCAGCAGTGTTTGAGATGCTGGTGGGTGGATGTTTCAGTGTAAACAATGAGGGAATGGCAGTCTCTGTTACTTTACATGTTGGTGGATTACCAATTGGTGGACAACTCTGCTTGCAGGCTACAGTCATAATTCTCCAGGTGTATCATATGAATAGTTTGTGTTTCAATAGCCTGCAGCCATTGTAACACTTGTGTAAGGCTCAGTATGAATTAGTCAAAAATGACAAATAACACCTTTCATTTTCACCAGCTCTTTGGCATGGCACAAATGGTCAAGGTGGTTTTATAAATAGTTCATAATTATCAAGAACTACAAAATAAACTTGTGCTGCTCTTTTTCAGTACCTGTGTTTCACTGTGCACATTCAGAGGTATGCCCTAAGAGTGTTTAAGTAGCTGGCGGTCACTGTGTCTCTGTGAAAACTCCACCCATGTCTGTGTCTGCTGCTTTTTGTCTCTCTCCTGCAGTGTTGTTTTCCAACAGTGGCATAGTGTCTGGGTATGCAGAGTATGCATTTGCATATGGGCCTGTGCTTTGGGGGGCCCATGAATCACCTCAGCTTCTTATGTTATCCATGCTCACTAGCCTCTACCTTGTCAATGCAATTCCCAAGGCCCGTCTCACCTCTGTGAGGCATGTGTGATGTGGACGACCTTGTTTTCATTTCTGTATTCATGCTATTAAGTAAGACCATTAACACGGCATGCAGGAGCAGAGTTATTCAGAGCTGAATAAGCCATGTGTAGTTGAAGGCCTGCAGTATTGTAAATCATAAACTGACATGCAAATCATTAGAAAAATAGTATCTATTTCTCTAAGTTTTTTACTTTTTTCATGATTCTCCAAGAAGGTGAAATTAAATTACAAAATATAGCTATAGTTAGTATTACTGTTTCTCAATGAAGAAACCTGCTACACTCACTTATTGTTAGAGACAAGAGCTCATGCTGAACATTAATCTTTACAGCCCTGACATAAAAGTGTGTCATAAACTCTTGCTTTCACAATAGAGGCACAGTTTTGTAACCCGAGAACATTCTACAAGTTTATACATGCTTTCAAAGTAGAAGAGAAAACCCATAAACCATATGTCTACTTTACAAACACTTGAAATTTGAATACAGATTACTTTCTTTGCAAAATCTGGGAAGATATGTCTCAGTAAACACTAACAAGAAATAAATGCTAAAAAATGCTGCACATAGCTCCTGAGAAGAGGAAATAGGATTTTATGTTTTGCTATTCAATAAAGTTATCCCTAAATTTCCCTAAATATTACCAAATTTTACGAAAGTAGAAAGTCAGTAAAGTCTTTATGACTATTTCTGGACTGTCACTACATTTAAATAACAAGCCCTTCATAGTTCAACCTCATGATTCTGTCAACATGTCACAGATCAAGTAATGTCAGAAAATAATCTGTTAATAATACAAAATGAGAGCTTACCTGAATACTGAAATGCTGCAACAAATGTTTTACTTTCTCTTTGTCTAAAAATGAGGAAGTATTTGTGCTAGACACTCCCTCGATGTTGTCAGGCTACAACACATAAAATATTTTGGTCTTTACTGTTCTTTTGTTGTATCGCCAAAAAAAAAAAAAAAAAAACACAATTACTTTTGAATGAATTTACACTGAAAAATATGGCCTGCTAACATTAACCTTAGCATTAGCATTAGCCTCAACAAACCTCCAACATAATGCTTTTACACAGCACAAAGTCAGGTTTTAGCAAAACCATACAGAACACTTACTGGAAGAAAAGGGAAGGTAAGTTTCTTAAACAAAGGACTGCATAGGTTGAGCACTTTGGGACTTCAACACCAGATATTTGTTTGTAGTTGTCACCATGCTGCTTAACTTCTACTTCCCCTCCATTTTATAGAATTATAGGAGTGCTTTTAGATGCACTAGCCTCCCCTAGAGGCCTGGAGGTATTAAAACGACATTACTTCATTCCTAAATCTAAAAAAGTGAATACTGGAACAGAGGTAAATCTGTCTAAATAAATAAATAAATATGCAGTTGGCTCAGTGACAAAAAGACACTAGGCCACTTACTGACTGACAAACTAACTGTCATATCATGCTAATAACACATCTCTATAAACCTAAATGTACAGTGTTTGTTTGACCCTGCGCTTCATTTTCTACAGTTTTCACCAGAGTTTTTGTGATATTGTATCTTTTTATTTGGTTCAATTGGGTTCACACTGCAGCAGCTAAAGTGGACCAGTTTTCACATGTGGGTGTTTGTTTATTGCATGCAGGAGCTGTTATGGTCACATTTACCACCATGAAAACAGAAAAAACAAAAAATATGTGCTTGTTGTGAATAATGTGAATAACAATAATAACCAATCAAGTTGCTAAAGCTTGGCCAAAAAACAACCTAATTTCTCTCCATAATTTAAACATGTCTAATTCCACCAACTCCCCCAATCACATCATACCACCTTCATATCATACATATTGCACTTTCTGCACACCTTATCGCACATCTTGCACATCTGGACACTCCACACCTAGAAACCTTATTTCAGTACCAATATATGCACATATTTATTCAGTATTGTCATTATATGTTGTTACCTGTGCCTCCTTGTACAGTCATTATTGCATTACCTTTTTATCTCAGTATAGATCTTATTGCATATTTTTGTATATTCTTGTTGTGGTTATTTGTATATATTCTTCATTTTAAATTGTATCACCTTTATTATTACAACTGTCCTGTGTTGTGTGGCTCCTACTGGCTGCTAAATTTCCTTCAGGATCAATAAGGTATCTATCTATCTATCTAACTATCTTTATATTTTTCTATCTATCTATATTTTTCTATCTATCTATATTTTTCTATCTATCTATCTATCTATCTATCTATCTATCTATCTATCTATCTATCCCAGAAGGATAAGTGGTTTAGATGATTGTGTGTGTGTGTGTGTGTGTGTGTGTGTGTTTATCTGTCTATCTAACTTCCTCCAAGACCTGTGAAGAACCATCACATTTTTTGGAAGGAAACCACCAACCACCTGTTCTGTTACATCAGCTAACAGATGCCTGCGCTAGCTAGTGATGGGGGGGGGGAGGGCCATTTTCTATCTATAACAACAATAATAATAATAATAATAATAACAACAATTTTTATTTATGTAGCACTTTTCATGCTGGTGGCAGCTCAACAGACAGGTGATAAAACATAGTAATACAAGTACTAATTTAGAATCAGAAGAAAATGACACACATCAAATTAGAAGATAAATACCATAAGATGTAGAGCTTTAATTAATGCTAAGTTAAAGAGATGTTTTAGATGCTTTTTAAAAGTGATCACTGAAGTTGACTGTCTAATAAAAGGTGGAATTGAGTTCCACAGTTTAGAAGCATAATAACTAAAAGAGTTTCTCTGTGTTTTCTGTATTTTACAGAAAGTATTTGTAGAAGATCACTATCTGCAGATCTAAGATTTCATGCTGGAACATAAACAGATAGACACTCTGTGATGTAAGCAGTGCTTTAAGGTCATTTAGAGCTTTAAAAACTAGTAGCTACTTTAAAATCTGTCCTGAATAATACAGGTAGCCAGTGCAGTTCTTTTAAATGGGAATGATATGATCCCTCTTTGTTGTTTTTGTTAGGATGCACGCTGCTGCATTTTGTATCGAACAGCAGTTTGTGCTGTTTGTGTAGAGAAAAATAAAACAGGTTGAATTCCCTTGTTTGGCGTGGACTTTGATTCAAATTTGTTCCCACCAGCATTAAACTCAACAGTGCTCACTTAGAATTGGCCAATGATTTTGTGGGACCTCCATTAATTTCTCTAGTTTGGACCTGAATATGGGTGGAGTAATCACATGTCAAAATGGATGTGTATAAGTCAGCGCTCCATTCAGTTTAGAGAGCAGAGGTTTTAAATTTTATCTAAACATTAACTCAAGAAAGTGGTGGGTCATCACCACCATGGTTCTGGTGACCCTGATAGGGAATGTAGTGCAGTCCAGTTAAGAAACAATCACTGACATACCATCCCTGCACTGATAGTGTTCCACTGGTAGCAGCACTGGTAGCATTCCATTAGAATGTGAGCTTTTGAAATATTAGAACAATTTAATGAAAGCATTTAAGTGCTGAGAGCCTGCTGACCAATGTCATGTAAATCAAAATAAGTATTTATTCAGCAACATAACAAGTTATAGGAACACATTTGATGATAAATGGCAGCCATGTATTTGTTCATAATGCTAGTCACATTTCTATACATTGCAGTTTGCAATACTATGTTCCTTTATATAATGCAGCCCCATAGAAATGTTGTCATTTTATAGTTAGGACGTACTGGCCACAATAAGTTATGGTAACACTTTATTTGGAGTGGTCCTTTGTAGATGTTTAATAAACTCTTAACCGATAATCAGTAACACATCAACAACATATCAGTGAAGTAGCAGTAGTGCAGCATCTGCATACACTGAAGTAAATATCTTGTAGATGTTCTGTTGATACATTATTTACATTAAATAGATATATTGTTAATATGTTACATCCATTATGCAAAAGCTAACCTTACTCACCTTACCCCAAACCTAACCCTCATCCTGGCCCTAATACTAATCCCAACATTATCCTTAGTCCAAAACCTAATCCTAACCATCATATGTGTTAGACATGTTACTGAGAGTCTGTTGATTGTTTGTTGTTTGATCTAAAAAGACACTTAAAATAAAGTGTGACCTAAGTTATTCTTGATATCATACACATCATACATGTTCTTCTTTGACATATAGTTGAATATAGAAGTTTGTGTGTCCCTGGAAACATTGCGTGTTTTATTGATTGGTTAAAATAAACTAAATGAACATCCACTACAGAAATCACATTTCTGCACATTTTACTGTAAAATTACTGTTTATTTGTTGGATTTAACATACAAAAATTATCAACAAAATATGCCATTTGGCCAAGGGTACTTGAACCTTTGTCTTCAAGTGTATACTTAGACTTACAAGGACAGTTACAGCTAAATACAAAAGCAACAGATTTGAGATAAAAAATAAACGTGTAGTAGATTGAAAACGGAGAGTCAGAAAAGAACAGTCCAATGCATCCATCGTAGGCCAGACACTATATGGCATCTCATTAATTGTAAAAGATGATGATTTTACTATGAAATTCTGAAAAGATATCTATTTTTATTTATTTATTTTTTATTTATTTATTTATTTATTTTTTGCAGAGACCAGCAGATTTATAGAAGCATTACTGTTGATTCTACAGGTGTGCATTTCTAATCTTGGATGTTTTTGTATTATTCGTGAGTTTAAGAAATTTCAGAGAGTTCTTGTGTATGATAACATATGGTTATGATATATGGTTATGATATGGTGCTAAATGTATTTGGATGTATTTACATAATAATAAACTGTATTTCACATAATTACATTTGATCAAGTTCAGAGTTCACTATGTAGTATGTGCTTAACTTTATATCCTATTTGAGAACAATGCAGTAAAGTGCATAGCAGAGTTATGAAATACCTCATCATCCTTTTTACTAAACAGAGAAATGAATCAATTTAAGCTGTACATGATGATGTATTTATGATGTTGGATGAAATGGTTTGGAGAGCAGATAAGTTATCTTGTAGTTTTCAAGAACTGTTCTGGGTGGCATTTGTATTAATTGACGCCTCAGTAATAATCTCCTAATAAACACAAACATGTATGTAATTACTAAGTAACTAAACAGTTACCCAATTTAAGAAAGCTTTTAGTTCTCCTTTTTTATTACTATCTTACTAAGCATCGTTAAATCTGTGCAAAGCAGTTCAAAATTATGATCCTACAGTAAGAAACACAAGGTACAAGATTTAAAAGTTCTGGGAAAGAACTGAATAATCTGCAATGTATAACATGCTGCTTCTGCTTTAGGCTTGTGGGAGAGTGAGGAAACATCAAAACACATTGTGATTTATTACATAAATTATATAATGAATTAGTAGCAGTAATTTTTTTCTAATTGTGGTGCTGGATGACACTGCATAGCATAAACACTTTCTATGATTTCTCTGTTCACATCCAATTGAATGATCATTGACTGATCAGATACATGTTAAAGCATGGATAATAATCTAATGCATTGTAGTGGACAGTGGTGACCAATAAATTATTCAGTTCTCTAAGAGAAAGGTGCTTTTAGTTACTCACTTCACACCACATCTTAAGTTTTCTGTGTTATGTTCTAGAAGGCTCTCTAATGCTCACTATTTATTTATTGGATCTGGTAACCGCTGGTAGAAGGATTTGCCTCAAGATTAAGTGTTTTATTCCAGTAAGAGACACATGAACATGAACTGTTGACACAGGCAATCATACTTGATGTTGGCACCACCTGATCTTCTCCACAAAGTTTCCACAGACTATTGTTAATTAGATGAAATGTCTATTGTAAAACAAGCAGTTTTTGTCTGTCATAAACAAAGGTGCTGGCAAAAGTAGTTACAGACAAACACACAATTACTAAAAAAACTAAAACAAGTGAAGGGAGCTTGCAACACAGCAGCCATATGTGGCACCATATTGGAGACATACTGTTCCAAGTGTAACGAACATGTTCCAAGTTTTCTCACCAGTTAAAGCCATTATGGTATGTTATGAGTTTCACCCTTTTAAAAGCCAACATATCATGAATACAGTTGCACATAACAGTTATCAAAATATTTAAATCAATATATATATATATATATATATATATATATATATATATATATATATATATATATATATATTATTGACTTATTAGATCTAAATATGTATCTATATTAGTATAAACATTAGGCAATTAATGCTTAATTATTATACATTATTGTTAAATGGTTAATGTA